CTCTCATCTGCCTGGGGCTCTGCACATTTTCTGTATTTCTACATAAGCAGTTGTATTGTTTTTTATGTCTTTAAACATTATGTAATATTATTTTATGCACTGTCATCATTTTTCAAATATTGAGACTTTCATAATGTGAATTTGAACTCTCATGGTCCTGAAACTGTAATCTTATTGAAGGGGTGGATTGAGACCATCTTCTGGGTCTTCCGGAAGACAGTCAGGTTATTAAGTTTATATTGACTGGTATCTATTTTTTTCTGTTGGAACACCATCAAAATGGAGGATGGATCAACATAGATACTTTGTAATACTGTCAGAAAATATCTCTGGGTCCGCTCCTGTTATTGACCATGTTACCTGTTGTGCAAGATTAAAATTCAGTGTTGACTGACAGTGCTATTATAAGCATTATTTATTATTGCATCAAAATTGACAAAATGACCTTTTTTGCATCTTTATTTTCTGTTTTTTGTCTGTACATTTGACAGCTTTGCTGCCTTGTTTATTAAAATTATGAATGCTTTCCTTCTAGAGTTTTTAGTGTTTCACATATAAAGAGGAGTTTCCGAGAGGTCAGGAAAAAATGGCATGACCTCACGTCTCGCACTAAGCGCAAAGAGGCCAAACGCCGTGCAGCAGTGCGGCAGACAGGTGATGGTGTGGGGCCCAGTCCACTGTCAGAGTGGGAGAAGAAGGTGTTATTTTGTTATTATTAAAATGAATTTGTATATTAAATTGCATAATGGCTAACTTCGTTTTATATTTAATTGCTTAAAGAACCTCAAGATGATATGAAGTAGAGTAATTAACTTAGACTCTGTTTAATATGAATACTTCAACACTGAGTTTCACAGACATACGTACCATTGGAATGTCCAGTCACCAGGAGGCATATTTTATACATACATATATCTCTATATATTTATACTAATTTCTATACTTATTAACAAAAAAAACTTAATTGGTAATTTCAAACATATAGCTTATGAAAGTGTTCAACATTGTCGCATAGTCGGCTTTTCATTTCTGTTGCTGCAACTGAACAGGAATATGTTCATTTATGAAAAATTATCACAGTGATTTAAAAGTACAATATCTGTAAAATTCAGAATATTGAAAAGATTGAGTTCTTATTGTATCATTTTATATTTAATTATTATAATTACATACATCTTCAAATTTCAGATGTAAGTGAAAGGCTCTACAACCTAGAGAAGGATTGCTTAGCATTAGAGGAGGAGAGGTTGAAAGTAGAAAAAGTGCGTTTACAGTAAGAAAGGGAGAGATTAGAAATTGACAAAAGTAACAAAGTGGTATTTGAAAAAATAACAGAATACTGTGGAGTGAAGTTGGATGTACTGAAGTGTANAAATATATTATTATTATTATTATTATTATTATTATTATTAAGTGCGGCAGACAGGTGATTGTGTGGGGCCCAGTCCACTGTCAGAGTGGGAGAAGAAGGTGTTATTTTGTTATTATTAAAATGAATTTGTATATTAAATTGCATAATGGCTAACTTCGTTTTATATTTAATTGCTTAAAGAACCTCAAGATGATATGAAGTAGAGTAATTAACTTAGACTCTGTTTAATATGAATACTTCAACACTGAGTTTCACAGACATACGTACCATTGGAATGTCCAGTCAGCAGGAGGCATATTTTATACATGTTTACATATATCTCTATATATTTATACTGATTTCTATACTTATTAACAAAAACTTAATTGGTAATTTCAAACATATAGCTTATGAAAGTGTTCAACATTGTCGCATAGTCGGCTTTTCATTTCTGTTGCTGCAACTGAACAGGAATATGTTCATTTATGAAAAATTATCAAAGTGATTTAAAAGTACAGTATCTGTAAAATTCAGAATATTGAAAAGATTGAGTTCTTATTGTATCATTTTATATTTAATTATTATAATTACATACATCTTCAAATTTCAGATGTAAGTGAAAGGCTTTACAACCTAGAGAAGGATTGCTTAGCATTAGAGGAGGAGAGGTTGAAAGTAGAAAAAGTGCGTTTACAGTAAGAAAGGGAGAGATTAGAAATTGACAAAAGTAACAAAGTGGTATTTGAAAAAATAACAGAATACTGTGAAGTGAAGTTGGATGTACTGAAGTGTAAGTCTCTTGTAGATACTTACCAGTGAGTGCATCTTATTGGGATCATGATATTTTAGGTTTTTGCCAAGACACATACTAGCTGTTTTAAGTATCACTTGGATTGGACCATATTACTGTATGCAATTCAAATGACACATTGCAAGGGAAATGTCAAACTTTCATAAGGAGAGTTCCAAATTATTAAAATATTTTGTTTCAAAACCATCCAGATCAAATTAATTTTGGTAAATTATTATTTTAATTTATTAATTTTTTTGTCTGTGAATGTGTGAAATATTAATTTTTTCACATATTGGCATTTTCAAGGTGAGACACAACTTGAAGACCTTTTTTACTCACATTGTCTGGATGTCCATAATACTTATATTATTTTAATTTTGTATTATATATGCTGTTGAGTATTATGTTATATTGCATCAAAATTGGCCAAATCCCTATTGTCACCCTGCCGCCACAAATGTAATGAAAAATAAAACTTTGTTACTTATTTTTTTATGTACAAGAATGATTATAAGGATATACATACAGCTGATATTAAAAATGCCAACTTGACTGTATTATTTTTTCCTTTAATTTATGCAATTTCTTTTTGATAATTTTTCAGTATTTTTCATTTAGTAATTTTCAATATTTGAATCAGTTTGATCATTCAGTACTGTATTTTAAACTAAGTTTATGACCTCAGCAAAGAACTGGAATTTGTTACAAATCTTTTATAAGGGATATTTTTCATTTGCTTTTGTCCTTGAAAAGGACTTTATTTTTATATTGTACTTATTAACTTTAATTTAGACAAGAATATACATTTAGGAAATTGTTTATAAAATTATTTTTATATTTTATTTTATATTTTCATAATGTTATTGTTTCATAAAATAAAAAAAATTATGTAAAATATAACTTGACCGTCTGTTTTGTTTCTTACATAAACTTAAAAGTGATTTTATTTTGCCCTATTTGCATTGAAAGTGTACTTCAAAAGTAATTGACTTAAAGTATCAGTCTTTTTGATTCCTGGAAATTGTTATTAAATTTCCTGCATGAAAACTAGCTGTTATATAAATCAAATTTGTACACCTTTGTCATTTTGTACACTTATTTTAAATTTCAGTTCTTAATATTATATGCAAAATATATGCAAAATATAATAAAATATAACATTAATTTTAAAGAGAAAATCAGTTTTCATTATTTTATTTACTTTTATTTAATGAAAAAATAATCCTTATTCATCCCACAACGATTCATAAATGATCCAACTGAGAGTTAGAGAAAAATACCAGGAGAATATGGAAGTGTGTGTGAGACTCAGAGATCCAATGCAAATACACGTAATGCAGCAAGAACTTGAGTAGTGGGTGACAGTGCTCGAGACCTCGTAGTCGTTCTTTTCAGGGGTTCTTCAATAATATTGGCCAGTTTGAGCACATTCTCCTGCGTCATGCGGTATCTCTTATGAAAAATATGGGGTTGGAACTCTACCATAGGATCTATACGTCTCACACACCTTCTTTTAGCATTTTCCTGGCATTTTTCTCTTACAACAACAAAACTAGCCGCTATGACGATTTCAATATAATGACCAAGAACGCATGCGTAAAAACACTTGCGTCTTGTTTGTATCGCCGCAAATAATAGCCTCGAAACTAATGGTGATTTGGACATTAGCGCACGTCCGGGATTTGCGAAGCTTTCGAGATACGAGATAGAGCACGCTAGCCATGCTAGCGCAGGCGCTCAAGATAGCGAATCTTTCGAGATACGGGATAGCGCACGCTAGCCATGCTAGAGCGTGTGCGCAACACAGCGAACCTTTCGAGATTCCGAGCCCAGGGAGACATGGAGGAGACAGCTAGGGTTATCAAGGTACACAGTATTGTTGTGTTCGTACATTTTCCTACCTTCACCCGGTGTGCTCTCCCTGCGCGGAGAGCGCGCAATTACGGTAAGACTGCGCACACCAGGTGGAGAGCCCAACTTCCCTGCCTGATCCCGGTGAGTACAACTCAACCACAGCTACCGTGCAGACGTGTACGGTACAGACGACAAAAATAATCAGAATTGAGACACAATACACAGTGATCTACAATCCCACTCCGTAAGTAGAACCAGTGAATACTTTATTGGCGACAAGGCATTCGTAACTTGCAATTTTGCGGGCCTAAAGCTTAGTTTTCGCTGCGATCTAGCTGAAAGTAGATTACGCGGGAAATTCCTCTGTCTAACATCCTTTTGAATAATTGGGTGGAGCGGCGGTCAAAATTGTAGTTTCAGTTTTGGATCATAAAGGTTACCGCTTCAGGAGACACTGGTATTTGTTGCGTATCTACTGTATTTTCAGTGCTTACGTGTGTGAATTGTGATATAAAGATATAAAAATTGAGAAGGTATAAAACTTTCAAACTTCATTTTGAGAAAGAAAAATATCTTGATATAATACAAGATAAAGAAAAACGTCAAACCCTAACCAAATTCAGAATCAGCAGCCACAATTTGCACATAGAAACAGGTCGCCACGTCAAGGGTAAACCAACACCAGTTGAAGAAAGAAAATGCCAAATCTGCCACTCTGGATTCATAGAGGATGAAGAACACTTCTTAATTACACAGAAAAGAACTCTTTAAAATAATACAAAGCAGCCACACATGCTTTGCACATTTAAACAACAAAGATAATTTCCACTTTATAATGAATAATCCAAACGAAACAGTGATAATTTCCTTGGCCAAATTCCTTAACCTTGCTTTTAACAAAAGAAACTGTGCTACATCTTCAACTTCATGATGTCTATCAATAACTACTATAAATACGAAGATTTAGTTCACATAGTAGAAACATTGGTACAGTTCTATACATGTATTTTGGTGCTATTTATCTATGTATTTTGCTATTACTATTATCATTATTATTGCTGCTATTACCTTATCTATGTACATTTTCACCAGCTCAGTCTGGTGCAGAAAGTATTAATAAAGCATATATATAAAGGAGACGTTGGTCTCATTCCCCTGTGTGTTGTTATCAAAGCTGAATTTTCCCCAAGACTGAGGTGCACACGTAATATTTTAGTTTCTTTGTTTCTTTAGTTTATTTGAAAGAATAAAATATTGACTTCAGTGTTTTTGTTGATTATTCTTTTGTATTTTAGATAGGATTCTGAACAGAATTTCTGTCTAAATTCAACTTATTGCGTTGTGTGCCGAAGTCTTCCTTCCCCGAATTTGAATTAACTGTACGTTTTTGGATTCTATTTATAGTGAATTTCGCTATAAGCTTGGTAGTGTATTGTGATTTGATAGGTGAAATTATTTTGAATCAATTTAATTCTCGCTTACAAATGTACAATGGCGAGTGCATCAAGGTTGCCAATCAATCGTGCGACTTACGATGAGCTCGTTACGCTGCCGGGTATAGGTCCTAAACGTGCAGAAAGGATAATATACGCTAGAAAGCAAGGGATACCCGTGACCAGATCCAACATTTTGGAAATTTGTGGATCCAATACCGGATCAAATAAAATAAAAAATTTCTCTTTTGGGGGTACTCACAGCAGTGAATTAGGATCTGAAGTCAACATGGGTGACCTAGACCCTAGCGTATTATCCACTCAAAAAACTCATTACACAACTTCTAAAGTGACTTCCTACATTCAGCATGAAGGAAGAGCGGCTGCTGAGAGATATAGGGTGGAATTTGAAAAAATTCTCAAACTGGGTGAGAAAATTCAACACCAAGAACAAATTTCTCGCAGTAAAAATGTAAAAAACGCTGCTAATTATTCACCATCGACATATTCTAAATCAAAATCTTGTTCAAAATCACATTTTCACTCAGCTATTGACCCGAAATCTTTCACATCGCAGCCAGCCACTTTAGCCTCTGAACACGACATTTTTGCTCTGCCTATTGAGAGGCTGCGTGCCAATAACAAAGATAAAAAAATAACATCTGCTCTGCATGCAAAGTCTCCAGGCCGCGTCATGAACCCTGATACTGTTACTTCCTTGCCGAATGGTAAGGACAGTAGTCGGCACTTTGCTCCGTCTGTCCATAAGGGTGATGTGAATTATGATCTGTATCAGTTTCATGTTCCTAAACCCGAACGGCGGCAAAGACATGTTGAGCAATATTTTGCCGAAACAGTTCAACAAAATCATGAATACCGGTCTAGTTCAATAGGAAAACATTATACGCGACCT